AGAGTAGCAGCAAAGCTATACAGAATCAATGAACTAGAACTAAATTATGTATAAGAGAAATTTCAGAGAGCCTGTTTTTCCTAGTAAAATAGCAGTGGCAGTAATTTGACAGTTTAATCTACAATATTTTAAGAGGATTATGACTAAAGTTTACCTTTTTTAAATATATGAGAGAAATGAATTAAACCCCATTTTTCTCCAACACTTTTCCACCAACAGACTATGCACCTTTTGCTAAGGACACATTTAAATACTGTTTTAAAGGCTTGGTTTATTCTGTCTCTGCTTTACTGAAGGATTACTAGCAAATAAATAAAATTACAAAGCTTCCCCTATCACCAAAACACAACAATAATAATTATCATAATTAGTGTGCTAGTGTGAAAAATGGCCACAAATCTCTCTTCTTGTTTCACCAATAGTCTCCAGATATTGTCCCTATCCTTCTAAACACATTTGGGAAATTGTGGGGACTAAGCAACAAAGAAACATAGTAACTATTTACTTCAGAATGTCTCCTTGTAACATTTAAATCAAAGGATGCTTTGAGCTATGTTGGGAGAAGAACCATCACATTTATTCATTTATGGAAAAATCGGTCTTTATAAAGAGCTACTGTGCCTTTGAACTGACAAATTCATGAATAAAAGCTTTTAGAAATAAGCAACTAAACACTCATGATTAAAAGAATTTGTTTGACAGTTGCTTATTTCACACTAAGGTCCAGAAATTAAAAGAGCCATTTTTAGTTTACCACCCGCCCCCAACCCAATCCAAAAAAAAGGATCTTCAAAGAACTTCATATTTGTCTGATGGAGGAAAGGAATACATTTTAGAGAGGAATCTCTCTCAAGTGCTACAAAAGTGCTGGAGTTTTCACCTTTAAATAATAAAAAACCCCAATTTCACCCATGTTTGGCATTATGCTCATGGCCCAGGTAAAACCATGTTACTTTTATGTCTTATTATCCCATCCTGCAAAGCATTACTGTGCAAAGGGTAGCAATCTGTACCAACAATCACATCTATTAGCAACCTAAAAATCAGTCATCACAGTCTAGCAATCCTTAAACTGCTCTGCAAGCTCTCCAAATGAACTATCTTAAGGTGAAAGACAACTCATTATCCAGACAGAAGGCATTTTGACCGCATTAGAACAAAGACTGTCGCTGGTCTAAGCAGTGAATTGTTGTGGCTGTTACTTAGGATATCTCTCTTTATGAAATAAATAATATCTGGCCATCTAGGTTAATTATTCACAGAATAACTATAGTACATCACCACAGAACTGGTATCTGTTTCTCCAGTCGCAAATAAGTCCCAACAGAAATACTTCTTTATACCAGAGATAAGGATTTTAGGAGTTGCAGATGTTTCTTCTGCAAAGGTACACCTTGACTGTTGAATTGTATTCTGTTGTAGCTTCATGCAATGAAACTTTGCTGGTCTTTCAGATCATCAAAGTGATACAAGAGCTCAGTTATGACTTGATAAGAAGTATAGATGACATTGTTTATCAAGGTGGCTTTATGTATACTGGGATGATATGTATTCTTCGCACACAACAAGAAAAGGGATTCTGACTCATAATGAATAAAGGGTTGCTTTGGTTGAAGAGCTTGATCTTTACTGTGTGTCCCCCACCCTCTACTGCTACATAAAGTGATATAAAAGCTACTTTGAGCTCTGCATAATTGGACAGCTACTCTGTACAGAAAGAATCCTCAAGTGAACTTGCACAATCACTTTTCAGCTGCTTTGTGCCACCAGAATGTCCCAAAACACATGAAGGAGGGTTAGGAGGTTCTGGGACACAAAAGAAAAGGCTGCATATTGCTGTATATAGGCAAGATTTTATATTCCGTTCAAAAGAAAGAAAGTGTATTCAGGGGGCTGAAACATTCAGAAGTCATAAAAACGACAAAATGAAGGTTTGCCCACAACTTTAACTTTTCACCATTATGCTTATGTATTATGATAGGCTTCTTAATTATTACATTAAGTGAAAATGAATATTGAAGACACGTATCATCAGACAAACTGATCAATTTGTCTTGACTTCATGGGGCTGTGGATAGATAGATCTAAACTGTAATACAACTATATAACTGCAACATGTGTAGCTATGCCCAAATCAGCATCAATCTAGCTAGTTCAAGTGTTGCAAGGTATGACAGAACGGAGTTCAGTGTGGACTAGCTACCTAGGTATCTACCCAGAGTCCCAGGTAGGTTTGTAGCCCCCACTGAACCCTTTCTGCTCTATTGATCTCTGTAACTAAGATGGCTAGCTTAAAGTTATGTCAGGTGTATGTATATGACCTGAAATTACAACTTTGGATAGAGGCAATCAAGATTCATAGTAGAGATGATATCTTTTATTAGACCAACAAGATTTTAGCAAAAAATTCTTCCCAAGCAGGAAGCAACTATGACCACCTGAAACCTGAGATCCTGCTCCTGCTTTTGTTTCAAGGTAATTTGCATCATCACAGATCCTGACAGGAGGTGAGAGGCTGCATACCAGCTATGAACTGACTGCCCAGAGGAGTTTTCCATCTATTGACTCCTCTGTGAAATATGAACTTTCATTTTTCCCTGGAAAACTTTTACCATCTTTTCTCCAATGCTTGATTAAGAGTGTTTGTGCCTGAAAGCTTGCAATTAAAGAATTTTTTTGCAAAAATCTTGTTGGTCTAATAAAAGATATCATCTGTATGACGAGTCAAAGTATATCAAGTCCATTGTCTTCCCTGTATCCAGAAAGCCAGTTATCTCATCACAGAAGGCAATCAGGTTGGTCAGACATGACTTGCCCTTGGTGAATCCATGCAGTTTCTGGTCATTTTAGTCTCCTCCAAGTTCTTAGAAATGGATTCCTTGAGGACCTGCTCCATGATTTTTCTGGGGACTGAGGTGTGGCTGACTGGTTTATACTTCTCTGGATCCTCCTTCTTACGATTCTTAAAGATGGGCACTATATTTGTCCTTTTCCAATCGTCCCAGACCTCCCCCTATTGCCATGGGTTTTCAAAGACAATGGCCAGTGGCTCAGCAATCATATCAGCCAACTCCCTCAGCATCCTTGGATAAATTGCATCTGTCCCCATGGACTTGTACATATCCAGCATTTCTAAATAGTCCCCAATCTGTTCTTTCACCACTGAGGGCTGCTCAACTACTCCCCAAACTGTGTTGCCCAGTGCAGTAGTCTGGGAGCTAACCTTGCCTTTGAAAACCAAGGTGAAAAAAAGACATTGAATACTTCAGCCTTTTCTTCATCATTTGTTACTAGGGTGCCTCCCTCATTCAGTAAGGGTCCCATGCTTTCTCAGACCTTCCTCTTGTTGCCAACATATTTGTAGAAACTCCTCCTCTTATCCTTCACGTCCTTTGCTAGCTGCGATTCCAATTGCATTTTGGCCTTCCTTATTTCACTCTTGCATGTTTGAGTATTATTGTTAAACTCCTTTAAATGACTGAAAATGAAGTCTCATATGTGTTGCTCTCTGTGAGCAAACTATAGAAGTCCCATTCATTCCCACTATAACACATACAGATCATTTGCTAGTGAGATTAAACAAGTAGCAAAGACAAAGCCCCAAAAGCTTAAGAACAAGGAATGGTGGTATTAAATCAACTGTCTTTCATAGGTCAAGTTCTACTATAGCTTTGAAATAAATTTCTGCTGCAAAGGAACATGCATATGGGAAGAAAAGTGCTTCTATTAAAAATATAAAATTACCATGCATTAATATGTATACCTGAATATATACAAACAAATCTCCACCAAATCCTTGTTTCATGTAAAAAAAAAAAACAAAAAAAAAAACATTCTGTACATTTTGCAAAATCATTTTTAATTAGTTTGTTGGTTCCCTTTTGTGGGCAACATTTCTGCTGTTACATATGACAGTCATCAGTTTCATTAACTATCTGAAGGATTATGTGGAACCCAAGTGACTCTCTCTGTTGACTCTCTATTCAGGAGGCAAGGTGCACACAGTTTTCACAGGGAGAATGAGTAACAGTGAATGTGAAAATAGCTATTTGTAAAAATGTATTGCATTTATCTGTAAAGGTCTAATCAACATGTTACTCATAAAACCAAAAACAGTTCCTTTTCATTTAAAAGAAAAGAAGATATCCATTATCAACTTTGGTACCACTGATTTAACTTATATTTAACAAGCTAAGAACAGCAACTTTAAACCCTTTCAATGACTCAAAGGTTAGATCCAGAAATAATGACCAGATGCAGAACAATGATCTGACAGTTTCAAGAGAGCTTTGACTTATATTTTTGCCATCCTGCCTTTTTACTGATGTCACCAAACATGATCAAAGTAGAATATGGTGTCTGTCTGATGTATTAACTATCAGAGAAAGCTAGAATTGTTTAATACTTAACCAAATTTTTCCTATTTGTGGTAGCATTTTGTGACCTCCAAAAAGACAACATTCAGTTAGAAATTCCTAGGGTATATGCAGGTTCAAGTTGTTAGCATGCACATGATTTTTGTGACTGCATGTGTGGTTGTGGTAATTACATAGGCTAATTAAGTTGATTCCATAAAGGTATATCTGCATATATAGTTAACATGATGAAATGAAGCTATGATATATGGGAGTGCAAGTCATGTGGGTGTGTGCTACTATAAAAATAAATGTAATAAGCAAAAAAGAAAGCTGCCTAACTTCCTTCCTTCAGCAAAAGGGCACAACAAGGTCCATGATGACATCTAGCCTCAGGTTTGCCTTATCCTCCCACTGGTGAACAGTATCGGTGACCTTTGTAGAATATATGTGAGCTCAGAAAACAAGAAGCAGCTTCCTTTCCATTTTAACAATCAGTTTTGTTGATTTCACTTTTACAAACTATGTTCAGATTTCGTTGTTCTTTCTGAAATTGTAAGAAGCTGTCATCAAGCAGTGCTGGGCACTATACTTTGCATTCAACTCCATACAAAATATTGTCTAGTATGAATTTTCTCAGCATACCTTGTTCTCTCTGTTGATCTTTTTGCTCCATGGATACAAGAGCAGAGAAATGAGCTTGATCATAAGCTAGAACAAGAGGTGAGCAGTGACATCTGTTAGGCAGAACTTCAAGTGGCAAGTAAATTCCCCCAAATGGGATAGGTGCAAAAGCTGCAAAGAAAGCAATAAGATTTTGTTAAATAAATGTGACAGAAAGAGTAACAGGAACCTGATAGCATTTATATATCACTGCACAATATAAACAGAGCCCCAGAAGTGTGTCAGTGGGCACTGCGGGGTAAAATGTAACATTTGGAAGTTGGTAATAGACTGAACAGGTGAAATCTCATTGCAAAAACAAAACAAAACAAAACAAAAAGAATTAAGGAACAATTATGAAACAATTCCATTCTTGTAACATATTTTCCCCTCATTGTAGCTGTTTATTGTAAAATCTGACGGTGAAACAATAATTTTTTTGTCTGATACACATGAGCAGAATTGTATTTCTATGGTATATGTTTAGTTACAAGAAAATGTTTCTCATTAATGACAGCAGTATGCAAATGCCTGTGTTTCCTCTCTCCTTTGTGCTACTTGATTATTATTGTAAATTGAAGGCAGGGTTATTTCTAAGCTAGTATTTTTTCTAGAAAGTGACCTAAGTTACATTCATAGAATCAATGAGTCGGAAGGACCTAGACAGATCATCGAGTCCAACCCCCTGCCATGGGCAGGAAGGGGCACTGGGGGTGGCAGGGGTCATAAGAACCCAGCCAGGTGCCTGTCCAGTCTCCTCTTGAAGATTTCCAGGGAAGGTGAGAGCACCACCTCTCTGGGAA